CCTCCAGCCACTCGCAGGGAGCAAACACTGCAGCACATTCCCCCAGGGCTGCTTGGGGACACCCTTCCTAGAGGGAAATGCAGGTACCCAGAGAGATCCTTTGCCTCATCCACCTCAGGGAATGGGCAGGAGGCTGTCCCACCGATTTGGCACTGTCAGGTGGACTCGGAGCCCCTCCACTCCAAACCACTTGCAAGCTGGAGCAGGCAAGGTGCTTCATACAGGGTCCTCCCTCTGCCTCTGTCGTTGCAGAGGGCTGGGAACTCCAACGTAACCTCTAGGCTGGGACATTGTGTCTCAGGGGACAGGGGACACAGCTCTGAGCCTGCGTAAGCGAGAAGCAGCTGTGCTCTAACACCTTGAATGGAGCCAGTGCTGCGTAAGCTGAGCCCACTCTGGGGCTCCACGGCCGCCGAGGGGGACAGCTGCCACCAGGCCATGGGCAGGAGGGCTCCGGCAGAGGACAGTGAAGGAGCCAGGTCTCCGCTCCTCTGCCTCCAGGGTGAAGGGTTTGCTTCCCAGCTTTGGGCTGATCTTCCCTCTGGGAAGGCTGCCGGAGCTGGAGGACCGGGCAGGACTCCCCAGCAGCCTGAGCAGCCCCACAGTGCCCTGGCTCCCGGGTCTGCGGAGCTGTCTGCTGCCTGGCCACGTGATGGTGGACCGGACATTCCTGTGCCTCAGCTTCCCCTGACACCCTGGGAGGATGATGAGGGTGCAGGAGGCCTGAGTCAGCCATGCTGGCCCCAGGGCTTTGCCAAGGAGTAGGAAAGCTCAGCACTATTACGGGCAGGGAGGGGCCAGGCAGGCCAGGAAGCGATGGGAGGAACTGGGGTTTTCTCACACCCCCTCAGCTCCTCTGGCTCCTGGTACGCTCTGCTCTCCTGGGGTCCACTCTGATGTGACACAAGAACTCTGCAGTGCAGGCGATCCTAGCAGATGCGGCAGTCCTCCGTGGTAAGACCTTTCTTCCCTCAACGCCAATGGGTTAGCTGCTATGTCTGGGGCGGGTTCCCCCTCCCGGGCCCCACATCCCTCCATCGGCTCCCCCGCATCCCCAGGGCAAGTGCTGCCCTGGGGAGACCTGTCCTGCTGCCAGAAAGCACCTGCTGCCCTCCCATTCCCAAGCCGGCGGCTCTCCTGGGATCAGAGGCACCCTGCGCACACCCACGGGGAGCTGCTGCTGGTGCCGGCGGTGGCACGGCACAGTGGGAGAGCACCGGCACCGCTGGCAGTGGGCGATGCCATGGGCCTGTCCCTGCACTGAGGTGCCTGTCCTGAGCCCAGATGATCTCTGCTGGCTAGGGGCACGGGGAGCAGGGTCAGCCCAGAGAGGATCCCAGTGCCAGGCTGCTCCGTGTCCCAGCAAGGCAGGCAGCCAGGCGTGTGCTCCCCGGGAGCCAAGGGGCTCCACTGCTCTCACTCCGGTGTCCCTTGGCAGGGGTCCCATGTCCCTCTGAGCAAAATTCCCCACTGTGCATGTCAAATCTCGGCTGGCAGGACCACTCCCAGGCCCTCCCGGTGCTGGTGAAGGTGGCCACAGCCTGGCCAGGAAGAGCCGGGTGTTTCATGGAGTCTTTGCCTGGGAGCAGATTATTCACCCCTCAGCCTCTGTTCCCAAACAGGTCTGTGTGCTCCACCTTGCTCTGGCTTGTAAATAGTTTCCTCTCCACTGTGGGATGGTTGTTCCCTGGGCAATAACAACAGCAACCGGGATGCAGCTGGCTGGCCAGAAAGCCGGGCTGCCTCCTGGCCAGGAGGCCACGGTAGCTGGATGGTGCTTCTCACCGCCGCCTCCTAAAAGCAGTCCCGGGGCATTTCCCTGTCAGGGTTAGATGGGCAGGGGCAGCTGGGAGAGCTGACACCGCAGCCACCTCACACCCCACCCCAGGGTCTGTGGAGCCAAGGGGGCTTGTCCCCGCAATGCAAGGCTCCCTTCCACCGCTCCGGTTTCACGGGCACCGCTTTCAGCTGCCTGCCATGGAAAACGCAGGGCACGCGCGCTGTGGCCGCAGCAGGGAGGCTCGGGGTGGCTCCCGTCCCTGGGGTGACACTTGCAGAGGGGTGCTGTTGGCTTTCCGGGGCAGAGGGTCCCACTGGGGACAGGCATGCCTGGGGACTCCTGGGCTCTGAGCAGGAGCCTGGGTCCCCCCCAGGGTCAGGCAGGGAGTGATGCTGCAGTGGCTCCTCTTGCCGGGGATCCAGCGCCCATCCCCAAGCCTGGATGCACCCTGCACGCTGCTGGGGCTGTGCAAGGGCTGGACCAGGCACCATCTCCGTCACCTCCTGGCTTGGAGCTGGGCCAGAGCCCGCCTCGGCTGGGCTGGGAAAAGCCTTTGAATCAGGGTCATCTCCCGGGTGACTGGAGACTCTCGGAGCCACATGAGCCACTGTCCTGCCAGGGAAGGGACGCCAGGCACCCGGGGAGCCAAGTGCCAGCAACGCCAGGACAGGGACGTTCGGCTGTGTGTCCGTGCCCCGGCCCCATCCACAGCCCCGGGACAGGTAGGTGACCAGCTATCAGCCCTGCCAGCGTGGATGCCGAGAGCAAACTTTCCTCCAGCTCTGGACTGCCCGTGTTTGCAGGCACTGCGGGCTGCTGCCTGCCACACTGCCTGGGCTGGCTGCTGGAGGCTCTGGGCTGGCTCCGCGTGTGCTCCGGGTCCCTCTGTCCCTGTCCCCTGTATGCTCCTCTCCTGCCCCATGTGGGTGTCATGGGGCAGAAGCCACCAGCTCCTTGTGGGGTTGGGCTGTCCCCCACCCCTACAGGCTGGCTCTGCCCGGCTGGCGGGGGCACAGCAGCCGTCTCACAGGGAGGGTTCGCGTCGGCTTGAATTACTGATGGTAGGCTAGCAGGGCACAGCCACGGCAGGGAGACGGGTAGGCTGCTTGGGTGGCCAGGCCCCTGCAATGAGGGAATCTCTGGCTGTCCCCACAGTCTCCCAAAGCCCCTGGGTGGTCGTGGCTGGACCAAGGTCTTCACCCACTGCCTGGTGCCAGGCACTGATCAGGGAGCAGGGGTGGACGGCAAAGACTCCTGCGCTGACTTCTTGACCTTGCCTCAGTTTCCCTCTCAGCCAGACAGGGTATGTGTGAGCAGTGAGCTGGAAATGCCAGCCCCCTGCCAAGCCCCGACGCTCACTCAATAACCAGGGGAAGGTGCTGGCATGGCTGGATTAGTTCATCCTGCCTATCTCAGCCAGAGTTGGGCCTAAGCATCACAACTGACCAGTCAACTGCCTCCCATCTGGAGAAGGCACTGGGGATACCTCTCCAGCCCCAAGAGCCGGACAGCCATAGGACGGTGTGGCAGGGATGCCAGGGCTGGGGCAGAGGTGACTCCTGCAGTCCCTTGGCTTCGGTAACTGTAGATACCAGGATGCTCTGTGCCTCTGGTTGTGCCCCAAGGCTTCTTTCCATGGTATGAGGTGCCCAAAGGCACACAGGTGGCAGGGCCAGCTGGGACCTGCTGTCCCAGGCTCTCCAGGAAGGCTGGCAGGTGGCAGGAGCCATTGCCACACTGTACCCCAAAGCCCCCCCTGCACCCTTCATCCCCTGGGTTCCTGCTGTTGCCTGCCCGCCCCTCCCAGGGCCTCCAGGTGAGGCAGGAGTCAGCGAGCTGGTGGGTGGGTGCTGGTGGTGGGTGCCCCATTGTGCTGACCGTGGCCCATGGAAGCTGAACCCTGGTCTCTTCTCTTGCAGTCAATGCCTCCAGGAGAGCCTGCTAAGCCCCAGCCTCCAGCATGTCGCAGCTCTCCTCCACCCTGAAGCGGTACATCGACTCATCCCGCTATGCTGAGACCACCTACAGCAAGGTGCCCAGCGGCTACAGCTCCTACACCTCCTATGGATCCACCCTGGCCACATCCTACGCAGACAGCGACAAGATTGGCTTCAAAACCAGCTACCTGTCCTCCCCCCGGTACCACCACTCAGGGCTGTCCCCAACCAGTGGCTATGACACCAGCCGGCTGCCCCTGTACCCCGACTGCAGCATCCGCCTGAGCCCCACATACATACGCACACAGTCTCGGCCACCTGCTCCTATGGATCCACCCTGGCCACATCCTACGCAGACAGCGACAAGATTGGCTTCAAAACCAGCTACCTGTCCTCCCCCCGGTACCACCACTCAGGGCTGTCCCCAACCAGTGGCTATGACACCAGCCGGCTGCCCCTGTACCCCGACTGCAGCATCCGCCTGAGCCCCACATACATACGCACACAGTCTCGGCCACCTGGCAGTGGGCTGAGTGGGGGTGCGTGCTACGCCTTTGCAGGGGCCCCCAGCAGCCCCACGGGCTACCTGCCCACCACAGCACCTCTCAGCCGTCGCAAATCCATCAGCCACTCGGACCTGGCACGGGAGTTTTCGGGGCTGCACGCCTCAGACAGCGCCTACGTGCCCACCCCCGGCCCCCTCAGCACCCGGGGCCACCAGGAGCTTGGCAGCCTACAGGGTCTCTACCAGGCTGCTGCACACTCCGACTACGTCCGTGGCTACCTGGAGAGCTACGGGAGGGAAAGCAG